TGGAGGAAGTTTTTGGTACTGAAAGACCCGGTTTGCTACTGGGCTGAGTTCACAGTGACTGTGAAAATGGGACTGGAAAGTTCATGATGCTGGGATATTTAGAAGGATGGTCTCCTTTTATAAAAGAGAAAGGAAAGCAAAAAGAAAACCTGGAGGAAAGGCTAGGAGTGGATATTGATACTGTTAAGATATAACTGTTGTCTGCTTGGGATCTGAATAAAAGCAGCAGAAAACAGGTCATCCTGGTCATACAGGACATCCATGTCAGATGGACTTGATGGTATAGTTACAGCATTTCCCTCTACTTTCATGAATCAGAAAGCTGAGGTTTAGCACTTAATTGGTGTGTTTGTTTGTTTGTTTGTTTAATAGTCAGGGGATGAAGCATTGTTTTGGCAACTTTGAGTTTCAGCCAAAGTTAAACAGTTGGATTTTAAGGCTGAAGTAACTGCTGGACCAAGCTGCCTTGCCACCTGAACACAAGACATCATTCAAATGTAGAGTTACATCCATGAAGAGTGTGGTCATTTGTCTTCTGGTGGAAGAGTGCTGTCAGACCAAAGTCACAAACACCTCCTCTCTGAGGTGGTCTTGTTCTAGTGGTTATTATCACCAGAGAAGGAAAGTTGTGTTGTTTTTTTCAGCTTCTGCTGTGGGGCAGGAGAGCTTTCCCAGAGCTGTTGTATGGTGCAAACAGTGGAGTGGGGTAATGCTTAAGAGTAGGAAACATTTATTAGCTTCTGTATCAATTACAGCCAAGATTCTAACTCCTATTTTAGGGTCCTGAAAAGTTGTTTGCGAGCTTTGTAAGGGTTTTGTGTCCTGTTTCATCAAAAGAGAATAAATATAAGCAAGGTCCAAACGAATAACATAAATTCAAACTACCTAAAAGGCAGATAGAGGTTTGTAGAGGTGGGAAACTAAGTGGTCAGAAATTAGGAATATTGAAAGCACATTGTTGGAGTTTGAAGGTGGGTACATAGAGTGCAGGACAGACAGCCCCTGATGATCTGAACACGTGCCTCTGGCTGGAAAGATGGTGTGGCAGCTCTGGGTTTGTGTGTTCAGACCATGATGTTTGGGCAGTCTTGGTGAATAGTTCATCCAGATCCTGAAGAGTCTGTCTGGATAAAGCTCATCTGGAATAGGTACATAGGCAGAAGATAATTTAGTAGCCTATGTTCAGAATTTGCAGGCTTTTACATTGGCTTCTGATAAATGTTTTAATGGTCTCACTAAGAAGAACAGTGTGGATTTTCAGTGTAGTACTTTCATTACAGCCAGTAGCACCATGAAAATGTTTGGTCAGATGTCTATGCAGGATTGCTGCCATGACTTTGAACCTTGTTCAGATGTGATCGAGTGACTTCAGCAGGCTCTTTTGAGACCTTTCCTGTGATATTGAAAATCCTTTGTGATTACATGAGTTCAAGATCTTCAAGCCTCGAGATTTAAGACTTGGAAATTGTAAATGTCGATGAGATTCTATATTTGGTTAGTCAGGCTGTTACTTTTTTTTTTTTTTGCAATCTCTGAGTGTGCCTTCCATTCACAGACAGAAGAACCTTCGTTTAGGGTTAAAATTAATCAAATATTGACAGTAAAGCCATAAGCATTTTATAGATCATACAGTCTAAAGCTGGCATATGTTAAGATTCTTGTGGGAAACAAAAAAAAAAATGAAGCTTCACTGCTGAGATACTAACAGTAATGATGCCTATCAATTTCAGCATTCAGAGAGAGAAAACACAGTTTTGAAGCACTGCGTTTGTTACAGCAAGTAATTTTTTTGAAAATGTATTGATGGAACTGTTTGTACTGCTGTGAGCCAGAACAATGTCAGGTGGGTACTGCCTGTACTGGAAAAAACAACTTCATGATTTCCTGAATCATCCTGACTACAGGAATGTGAAGGCCAAAACTGTAATAAAAATGGGTGATTATTGCTTTTCACTCAAAGAGAAAAGCCGTAGCTAAAATTGGATTTAGCTTTAATTCTTGATGTTTCATTTCCTTTACTTCAAAGCAGGTCATAAAAGCATAGTTGATACCTTGCTTTTAAAGACAAGTGTGTTCTGTGGGGCTTAGAATTCAGGCTTCATTAAAATTAAAATCATGTTAGTCTAAATTTCAATGTCAAGCTGCTTAGAAATTGTTTTAATCTAAATTTTAATCTCAAACCGCGTAGATAGTTACATGGGTAGAGGAAAGTTGGTATTTTAGTTATTTTTAGCTAGTAGCCGACGTAAATCAGGTTGTGTATGTAGCATTCCTACCACCTAGGACAAAGAAGTATTGTATACAAAGCTTGCTTTCTCGTTGCCCAAATTTCCCGTTGCTGTCACGTACAACAAATGTAGGCATAGCTGTCTGTTGTCCTTGCAGATGATGTGTAGTGTTGGCACAGATTTTCCAGGCTCACCACGCTGAACCAGTAGTGAGATGGGTGCCAGAGGGTTAAGTGTGTGGAATGACAGCAGTGGCATCAGCAGCAGCAGCAGGGTGATGATCTCTTTTCTCTCTCGGGGTCTGTTGTGACTTAGGGAAGTTTGTGCAACGATCCTGCAAAACATTGTGTTGGTGCTTTCAGCGCTTGGGTTTGTGGCAGAGGCAGGAGGTGGGAAGGTAAGTAAAATGCACATCAGTGTGTCTCCTTTGGTTGAGAGGCTGTGTCTCAGCCCAGCTGCCAGCCAGCGGACTGCTCATAGGAATAAAGTGCTCGTGCTTGTTTTGGCACCGGGCTTTGTGGCAGGGGGGAATTGGGTTGGCTACAACAGCCCAGTGCTTGCTGTGGCGACTGTGGCGTGTGCCTGGACTTGGGCTGTGACCCCCTGCTCAGCTCTTTTTGGCAGGAGGGCAGAGTGGTCTGATCCAGAGCCTGAGGTCAGCTGCTCAGGCTTTTACATCTCTGAGAGGTGTGTGGGACAGCCTAGCTCTGAAACTGCTGAAGGGGGAGACACTGTGATAGCAGTGGGGGTAAGTAGTGAAGCTTTATGCTATGGGAACATGCTGGTGAGGTTTAGTGCGTGTCATATAAGGGCTGTCCTTGTGCATGGGGGTTATGTGGATGTGCATCATACAGGAATACATTAATTAATCAAGGAAGTATTCTAGTATGAACAGGAAACTGTTGAAAACCTGAGCTTTTCAGTAGCACTTCCCCTTGCCTGTCTAGGCTCTGTGTGATGAAATAACTTCTGAGCTTCAATGCTTTAAGCACTTGGCAAAACTTTTTTTGTACTCAAGCTTTCTCTATTTGCTCATATTGCTGCCGTGTTTTTTCAACTTTCTGAATGTGCCTTGATTGTATTAAGGATATAAAGCACTTCTTTTTTTTGGGGGGGAGATCTCCCAAAGCAAGGATTGCTCTCTCCATTTTCAAAACTTAACTGCTTTAATTTTAATTCTTAATTTTATTTGTTCTTCAGAATTTTTGTGAAAAGGGTTAAATGTTTTTTATGTTACTGTAATGTGAGATGAAGCAAGAGCAGTTTAATCTTCTGTAGTTGATGAAAATGTGAACTTTAAAAAAGTGTTCAGGAAGGAGAGAAGAAAGCAAGCTGAGATTTCACTGATTCTTTGAGAGGCTGTGGAAGTGATTGTGAAAGCTCCTGAAACTTTCATCCCAACAATCAAGCCGTGTCTGATATAACCAAATTAGGTAATTCCCTTTGTGTGGGGAAGAGGGACTTGAGGGTTGCGAAAGGACAGTTGTGTTTCACTTTCACAGTTAATGATTTCCATTTCCTGCAAAAATCTGGAGGCTCTAGACTCAAGTGTAATTGATGGTTTTATGGTACTACCAAGGCTGTGTTGTGTTCTGGTGGCATTTGAGGGCCCCAGTCAGGCAGGGCTTTGGTGTGTTAAGAGTTTATGGTATATAAACACCAGCGAGAGACATGGTCACTTCCTTGAAGTTTACAGCGTAGTTTGAAACAAGAAGAAAGTGAGCCTTGTGGAAGGAGGGTAAGCAGGATTTGCAAGATAACTTGAGTGGCCCTGCTGCATCCAGGCGCCTGTTTTGTCTGAAAATTATTTCCTGTAAGTTTTTCTAAATCTTTTTGCAGATGTGGATCCCAAATGCCTGGAGGTGAGACAGGGGAAGCTGTTATTTTTTGTCGTTGTTGTTTTTGAATAATCTGCAAAATTAAATGAGTGTGGGGCAGAAAATAAGAGCATCAGCCATAGGTACAAGCTGTGTGATGTGGACTTCAAGTTCGGATAGCTGGGCAGGATAGAAAAACTATATAAAAAGAATTATTTAGGTGTTCTCACAGAAAAGGTGATTTTGGTGTCTCTGAGAATGAGGACAGTAAGGATCATGTCCAGATTTTGAAGTGAATGCATGACGTGGGGAAGAAAAGGTGACTTGCTCTGAAGAAGCACATCCATGCAATTTCTAAATGCTCATGTTTCATTCTAGACTGAAACTACAGCATGTGTTACTGATCTGATGAAAGCCAAAATTTGTGTTATTCTGATTCACACTTTACCTTCTTGGTATACCCACTGCAAGTGTCTTAACAAAGCCCATGAGCATGGTTTTTTTTCTCTTAGTCTCTTCAATTTATTGAGAAATAGATACATAATTTTATTTTCTAAGATATCTGTGCAGAGAATTCAGCCCATTTTGTAAATCTGGCGTGATTCTACTGGTATCCTTCCTGTGCCACAGCAAAAGAACATGCAAGCCTACTGCTGCTTGTTACCGTGTTCACACTGTGATAAAAAATTTAAACATAGTGCAGCTGATTATTGCTTGTGTTTATGTATCTAGGTATACCAAACCTGCTGAGTTCGTTTCTGCAAATGGGTTTTTCCCTGAGGTTTGGATGCAGGCTGCACTAATTGATCCTTGGCAGTAGCTGTATCGATAAGCTGAGTCCTAATAGGCAGCTGGTCTAACAGAAGTGGGTTTTTGGAGGGCGGCCTTATTGGAATATGGCTCTCATTATGGGAGAGCACCACATTTAAAGTCATTTTAGTTCTTGATGTTGCAGTAGTGCCTGCTGGAGGTGGTGTGATTACTCCAGGGAGAAGGTGGAAATGCCTCACATCACTCAGCTGTCCTCCTGCTGATTAAGGAGTGTTGCTGCCCAAGATGCCTTTAGGAGGTAGGCAATTATTTTCAGACAGAGAGATGTTAACCAAGAACTGGAGCCTTATGGGAGGAAGGGGTAGCAGAGCTGGAGAGGGAGGGGGGCCACTCCCAAAGCATGCAGCGTTTCTTTTGCCGCTTCTCAGTATTAATCTCTTTAGAAAGCTTTCCCCATTTACATGGTGAAGCATTTAGCACTTGTGGGCTGACTGTGTGCAGAGCTAAGTGTTCTCTGTTTCATATTCTTATTTTTGCACTTTCTTGAATGTAAAACAACCTAGTGCTGATTTGCATAGTGCTAGTAATTGTTGGTGAGAGCACCACAGATGCTTTTTATTCCTGCTGCTCTTTCCAGAGAGTATTAGGGCGTTTGTTTTGGTTGTGTTTTAATATTGATCCAAAATCTAGTTTTAAGCAGCAGAGGGATTTATGTGCAGCAGGCTGCTGCCATGTGGTCACTGTTTTTGTGGCAGACTCATTACTTGATGACAAAAATCAGGCCATTGCCAAGTGCTCAAGGCAACCTTTTGCTAAGGTTGTTGTAAGGGAGCTCTGGGAACAGCCATGCAGCTTGAGTTGCAGGTAATAATTTAGATACTTTGTTAGGGAGAGTATATTGAAACCTCATTTGAAGATTCTTCATCTAGTAAATCAGTTGTCCCAATAGGGAATAATTTAGTGGCAGTGGAAAAGAGTCGTCTTAAATTGTAAAATTCTGTAATCTAGACTCCAAATGAGAGACATTTACAAAGTGTTGCCACTGCTGACTGACCAGTTTCATTACATCATAACTAACAATGAAGCTGTTTGAATTACTCAGCAGACTGAGATGTCTTCAGCTGTGAGTCACGCTACCTAAGTGGAGATTAATTTGTAAATGATCTTATGTTTATATGTACATTGGAGAGGGATTTCTTTCACTGACTAGAGATCATGTTTTCATCATGTCTGTGAAAGGCTTGGTCAACACTGAGAGTACCCAGACAGGCACACGTAGGTGTAGTTTCCCACGGACAGCAATGCCTGAGTAAGTGCCTCGGTGTTGTTTTCATGTAACTTACTGTCTTTTTTAATTTTCTTGGTGCACTGTGTATAGATACTATATGTTTTCTATTGCCACACAGCTTAACTGCAAGGAATTCACAAAAAAAATGTGGTGTATGTTGTGAAGATTGTAGCTGAACGTTTGGCTGCTTTGCTTACGCTGCGAGCGTGCAAACCTGGAGTTTGAATCTTGAGATCTAATTTGAAGTCACCAGGCTTTGAAGGGATTTGTAATAATGTATAGAGAATAGTATGTGTTTATAAAAGTAACTGGCAGTTGAATATCAGTATTCTTTACCCAAAGGCATGCTGAAGTAAGATGGATAAATGGGGGCTGGGATGACAGGGCCGGATTTCAGTTGCCTTCTAGAATGTATTATTGCGTTTTCTGGTTATTGCTTTCAAATCATGCCAGTGCTTTTGTTTTTTATTAAAACTTGTGGTATGTATTGCGTAACTAGTTCTGGGTTTGTGTTTTTAAAATTTAACTGTGCCTTGGTTATCAGCATCACTGAAGCTCACTTGAATAAAGGAACAGAATTTGCTCCATACAAATCCAGAGTCAGTAGGGCGTTGTTTTGCAATTATGTACAAAACAAAAGGCAAACCAAGAATAAAATCTGCCTTTTAGAAGACACCAGAATAATGTTTTATGCTTTCTTAATAACAAGAAAATACTTAAAGTTAAATACTGAAAGGATGCTGTTACCTTTTGATGGCACTGATGCTTTGTCTATTAAGGAACAGAGAAAACATAAGGGGAGGGGAGTCTGGGAGCACTTTGAGAAGCTAATAATTTAAGAAGGAATTTACCTTGTGTGAGTTTAGCAGATTTTTTTTGTTTTAGTGTGCTGGTAAGTTTCATTACTCTAGTCAAGGTCTACGTGAACCTATTAATTCTTATTTAGTTTTTTTTTGCTGAATTTGGTCAGAGGAGGAAAACCGAAACTGTCACACTGACAAAAAAAAAGTGGTTTCTGAGAAACAAACCTTTGTTACTGAGTTGTTTTGTTGTGGTTGGGCATGCAGTGCTGTCTGAGGCTTGATGTCTTGAACTTGCTTTTCCCCTCCTACTACAAAAATAAGTGTGTGTGTGTATATATATATATTTGTTTCTAGGGAGAACAGCAAATAGACTCAATAAGAGCTGATGTAGTGTACCAAATTGGGGAGGTTTTTACAGTAAGTGAGACCATGGCACACACAAAGAATTGGATACCTTGAGGTGTCTTCTCTCGAGGAAGTCCATCTTTGTTGGGAACTTTCGTTGTGGCTGATGAGATGGTTTCCATGGATCATTGTGTGGGGAGAGGAGAGCAGGGTTTGGCCTGGTGGTGGTAGGTCCTTCAGAAAGAGTTTGGCACAGCAGGCTTTTCTTGGTTTTGATTTGGCTGTCGGGGCTGCTGGGAGATGAGATTTGTTTTTGTGGGTGCAAGTGGCCTTTCCCTGCACTCAGGTGGAGTGATGTGAGAGGGTGGTCACATCTGTCGTGGGAGATGTGTGTGATACAGACCTGCTTTTCTCCTGAATGACTGAAACCTGGCACGGTGCAACTTTCTTTGGGGAGTGGAAAGATGGTACTTCTGATCTGGAGTACCTCTCATTGGTATTTTGCTCTCCCCATTTTCTCTCTGGGTATGTAGCTTTTTCCTTTTCCTTTCCCTTTTTTATTTTTTATTTTTTTTTCAGCAAATCAGATGCCATACGACTGGTGTCCTGAGTAACCCTCTATATAGCCTTTTTTTTTTTTGATGGACTTCAGTACAGACTCCTCTGCCTTTGCTTTGGTACCTGTCGCTTTTGTGCTGGCTGGTTTGCACTGAGCTCTGCAGGCACTGGCAGCCAGGGGCAGAGGTGCCAGTGCTGTGGGGTGGCTCAGGAGGTGGCTCTGCTGATCTGGCAAACCCTTGAATTTTTTTTTCATAGTGCAGCTTCTATTTGTGTCCTGAGAGTTAACTGCTTTTTAGTGGCAAAATTCATGCTGTAAATGCCAGTTGGGGAAATGTAGTTGCAGATTTGAAGTGGACAGTGTTCAGGTGTCCTTCCTCGTTTTGTCAAGAGCTAAATGGTTAAAACAGCGAGAGGTTTCCGGTTACCATGCTTGTATCAGCTGACTGCGTGTTTTTCTTTTTAATGAAATGTGGCTAGCTGAGTGGTTGGCATCTGCTGTGAGGAAGGGTGAATGGAAGAGGGAAATACCAGCGATCAGTTTTGTGACTTCGCTTTGCAGCCCAGCTGTTCAGCACAGTGCAGTAAAACTTGGCAGTTTCGGCGATTCAGAATGATTCTCTGGCAGTTTCACATTGTTTTACTGCTGGAACAAAGTGGCTGCTGTTGTTGTGGTTGTTGCTGTTTGCAGTGTGCCTTCATCAGTGTAGAATGAGGTCCACAGGAACTTGCTGTGAACCTAATGATCTCTTTTGAGGGAATCACAAACAGTTTGGGATTAGTCCGGCTGCTTCAGCAGTGGGACCAAGGACCACACTGGGGGTGTGTAGGACAGAATGCCAGGGCAGAATCCCTTGGTGCATGCTGGCTTCTGCACTTAAAACAGGTTTGTGAGAACAGTGCTGACAAAGTCACCCCGTTGCATTAGCAACCAGAGATGCAAACAAGAGGTCTGGGGAGGGCTGCAGTGGCTGAATCGCTGCATTTTGTTCAGCCTCTGGGAAAGCCACGGTGTAGCTAAAGAAGTTTTGTTTCCTAAAAAGTTTTACAGGACTTTGGGTGATAGCTTTGTGGTCTTGAAATCGGGTTATGTGGGTGACGTGAATCTGCAGTTTGAATTTTACAACTGGGAGGAAAATTTTTGAAAAACTCAATGGAGTAAAGTGCTTAAATTTGCATGAAAGACTAAAGTGAGTGCATAACCCGATTTTCATGCCTCTTGCATTTTCTCCTTTTATATTAAATGTTGCTTTAAAGTTTAAAGGCATCAATAAATGAAAGAAGTCTGTACCTTTCTAATTTTTTTAATACATATAAGTAATTATATCACTGTGTTAATATATATTATAGTACCTAACATATATCTACTAATATATTATTATAAGTAATTATAGTAATTACATTATTAATCATGTAAATACAAATTTTCTTGTCTGGAAATCTAGTGAAGGTCAGAATCCTGAAGGGCCCTGTTTACTTGAAGTTCAGATGTTATTCTGAGGATGTATGAGGAACTTGGGGAAGAAAAAAACAAGTTATACCTGTTTCTTTGATTTGAGAGTTACTAGTTACAAGCTCAGGAGTATTCACCACTCTTATTACAGGACCTGCCTTCTTGATTTGGATTTGTGGGTGACAGAAGCAGATGAAATATTTTAGGAAGTAGTCAAGGATGGAGAAGGGAGACTTCTTGAGCCTGCCAACTGATTATGTTTTGTCCATCTTTCTAGGTGGTGGAGATTTATTACTTCCTGAAGGGACGGCCCATGCCTTGAGAGGCTTGAGATGTACAAGGCTCATGGGAAGGGGGGAGTGTGTTTAACTCTGTCAAGAGCAGCACTTCCACACCAGGCATGAGATGAGTGATCCTGCTCTGCTTGAGAACTGTAGTCTTGTGAAGTGAGGCAGGAAATATCCTTAGCTGAGCTGGCACTTGCTGTTGACTCCAGTTTGGCAGGTGATACCTGGAGTGAGGTGTTCTGATAGTGTGTTTTCAATAACCCTTCAGCCCGTGTGGCTTCAGCAGAGCAGTAACAGTGGGAGCACAAATGCCTTGGTCGAATGATGATTTGGACGAGAGACTTCCTCCAAACACGTTGCTACTACCTCATGCAAAACATCATATGCAGCTGCTTTTCTTTTGCTCCAGACCACCCCAGACAGTTTCAGATCCCATGTGAGGTTTTAAGAGAAAGTCTTCCGAGGTCTGGCATGCGTGCAGTTTTCACAATCTCTTGAGGATGAAACTTACCTTCCTGTTTATTTGATTTTACAGATTTTACTTTCTACTGGTCTACAATGAGATTTTTCTTCACATGGGGTTTCTCAGGCAGGCTCTTGATTATCATGTGCATTTTGGGAAGTTCCATTTGCATTACTTTCAGCTGATGTTCTGTTAGTGTACTTGTGTTTTATGTGTTGTTGAAATTGCTGTTCATGAACTACACC